GGCTCATTCTGCTGTGTAGACTTTCAATGGAGTTTTTCATGTCCCGGAAATCTATTTGCATCTGTTTTATGGATTCCATTTGTTTCTTATGTTGGTATTCCATCATGTTCCTAAGTTCCTCTCTAGATTTGTTAATCATGTCTTGCACTAGGGGCACAATTTCTCCTGTTATCTGAGAAATTACTTCTGATTTCATTTTTCCCAGGTCCCCTTTTGTTGCCAGTTCATTGGGTCCAGGTGGTTGAGTATCAGAGTGTTCCATCTCATTTCTCTTTGGTGTTGCTGTAGGTGATCTGGATGTCTGATGTTGAGACTTATTTACGTGTTTTCTCATTTCAACTGGAGTGGGGGGCTGTTAACGCCTGCATGGATTACCTCCTCTGAGCTGGGCGAGGTGAGATGGGCCGGGCAGCAGTAGGTTTGGTGACCCAAAAGCCCTTTCCTGTGGGCTGGGAGCAGCCGGAGGGATGGTGGCCGGGAAGCCCCTTCTTCTGGACCAGGAGCTGTGGGATGGTGGCTCAGAAGCCCCTACCTCTGGGCTGGGAGGGGTGGGGGGGATAGTGGCCCAGAAGCCCCTTCCTCTTGGCCAGCAGCGGCGGGACGGAAGGTGGCCCTAAAGCCCTTTCCTCTGGGCTGGGAACAGTGGGAGGGATGGTGGCTGGGAATCCCCTTCCTCTGGACCAGGAGCAGTGGGACGGCTGCTCAGAAGCCCCTACCTCTAGGCTGGGATCAGCGGGACTCAGTACCTTGGTCTGGTGGTCTGGTGTCCTCTGTATCTTTGTAGTGTGGAACCAGGTGGCTGCCTATCTGCAGCGGGGTGATTCGGTGTCTTCCGCGTGCCTGGGGACCTCTGTAGGGTGTGCACCGATCTGCCCATCTGCAGCAGGCTGATTGGGCATGTTCCGTGCGACTCAGGACCTCGGTAGGGCATGGGCAGACCTGCCTGTCTGCAGCGGGGTGATTCGGCATCTCCCATGTGACTCAGGACCTCGGTCCTTTTTTTTTTTTTTCTTAAAGGAACGAATAGTATTCCATTATGTATACGTACCACATTTTCTATCCATTCATTGCCTGGTAGACACTAAGGTTGTCTCAGTTTCTCGGCTACTATGAATTATGCTGAAATGAACACAGGCTTGCATGTGTCTCTTTAGCATACTGATTGTAGGGCCGGGGATTTAGCTCAGTCATTTCGCCACCTGCTACATAAGCGCAAGGACCAGAGTTCGATCCTAGTACCAAAAAAACCGAAACAAACAAACAAATATGCTGTTTGCATTTCCTTTGCATATTTAACAAGAAATGAGATTTTTGTATCATATGGTAGTTTTATTTACAGGTTTTTTTGTATAATCTCCATACTGTTTTTGTATAATGCCAACACTAGTTCATATTTCCACCAATAGTGCACAATAAGTGCTGGCCAGCACTTATTATCTTTAGTCTTTTGATAGTAGCCATCCTTACTTGGATAAGGTGATACCTCACTATGGTTTTGATTTGCATTTCCCTGATTACTAGTGCTGTTGACCATCTTTTCATGTCCTCTTGACCCTCTATATTTCTTATTTTGAGAAATATCTATGTAAATCTAATGTCTATTTTTTCACCAGATCATTTTTTTTTAATTGAGGTCTTGGAGTTGTTTTTTTTAATATATATATTATGAATGACAATCCTTTGTCAGATGTATATATTGAAATTATTTTCTCTCATTATGTAAGTTGTCTCTACACTATGTTGTTTTCTATGCTGTGCAAAGGCTTTTTACACTGATGTAATCCTGTTTGTCTATTTTTGCTTTCTTCCCCTTTTTGTTTTTAATGCCAATACCATGCTGTTTTGATTACTACAGGTTTGTAATATGTTTTAAAGTCAGATAATGCTTCTTGCTTTCTTCTTTTTGGTCAAGATACTTTGGCTCTTTGGGTTTTGGGGATTCCATATTAATTTTGTGATTGTTTTTACTTGTTCTGTAAAGAAGAATGTCATTGGTATTTTGATAGTAATTGCATTAAATCTATAAATTGCTTTGCATAGTTTGGACATTTTAATGGTACTGACTTTTTTTTAGTCTCCATTTTATTTATTTCTGCTCAGATCTCTATTTTTTCTTCTGCTAATTTTGGGCTTATTTCTTGTCTTCTTGGTTTTTTTTCTTTTTGGTACCAGGAATCAAACTCAGGACCTCGCCCTTGTGAGGCAGGTGCAGTACCACTGAGCTAAATCCCTGGCCCTGGGCTTACTTCTTGTTTTCTAAATCCTTGAGATACAGCAATAAGTTGTTTATTTGATGTCATTCTGCTTTTTTAATGGAGGTATTGATGGCTATCAGCTCTCTTCTTAGTACTGCTTTTTTGGTATCTCACAGGTTTTTGTATCTTATTTCCATTTTCACTTGTTTCAAGGTTTTTAAAATTTTTTTCTTCCTTGATTTATTGGTTGTTCAAAGATAAATTGTTGTATTTGTGTAGTATCCAATGTTTTTATTATTGATTTCTAGCTCTATTGCACTGTTGTCAGAAAAGATGCTTGATATAACTTTAGTTTTTAAACATTGTTGAGGCTTATTCTGTAGCCTATCACATGGTCTATCCTGGAGAATGTTACATGTAATGATGAGAAAGATGTGTATTCTCCATCTGTCAGATGGAATATTCTATAGATGTTTGTTAGGTCTGTTTGGTCTAGGCTGCAAGTCTAATATTTCTTTGTTGATTTTTTGTCTGAATGATCATTTCATTGCTGCAAGTGGGATGTTAAAGCCCCCAGCTATTATTGTTTTGGAGTCTATCTCTCCCTTTAGGTCTACTAATACTTAGTCAGGTTTCTGTTAATATAACAAATCCCTGATGTGATCAACTTTATAAAGAAAAAAGAGTTTATATTTGTGCTTAGTTTCAGAGGATTTCGTCCATGATCAGCCAAACATATTGTTTTTAGGCCTCTAATCTGGGGCAGCAAATCAGGGGAGGAGTGCTTGATAGAAAAAAGTGTCACCACATGGCCAGGGTACAAAAAAGAGAGGAACAGGAGGAGCTAGGGTCTCATTCCCTTCATACCCTGGATGACTGGAAGACCTTCCATTAGGCCATACCACTTAAATATTCCATCATCTCCAACAGAGCCACTCTGGGAAGCAAGCAGGCCTTTAACCCATGGACCTTTGACAGACATTCCACATCCAAATTATAGCATGTCCAAACTATACATGTATATAATTTGTGACAAGTGAGTGGCAAGTTGAGAATGTTGGAGAAGAGATGAGAATATCATGATGAGACCCACCTAAAAGTTTGTGGAATAAGGCTTTCTTTTGAGTACATAAAGTTTTTTTTAAGTACATAAAGATGTTTAATGTTGAGAACCAATATGATTTAGATTTCCCTGTCAGAAATTAAAGGTTAGGAATGTTGCTCAGTCTAATGAGAAAGTTTAAATTTATAAAACTTGTTTAAAGGATAGAGGAAAAGTATAGAAATTATGAAGACTTGTGACCTATGACCAGAAATTGTTCATATTGTTTGAATTGAACATTCATTATGTATTTGTGAAGCTCTTCCATTTATAATCACCTTTAAGAAAAACATAATGCACAAATCTCTTGTTATCTATTATTAGGAGTCGTTAGGTTGCTATTTAGGGATATCTTACTCATTTTCAACTAAGATATCTAAAAAGTTAACCTACCAGCCCTGGAGTCAGTTTATTTTGTCATGATCATGTTCCTGGCCCTCTAGTTTATCAGAGCTTCAATTAAGTGCTCTACAGTTAGCCTTTTTAAGAGCCACCCCAGATATGTCTTTATTTATATTCTATGCATTCTTGATTTCCTGCAGATTACTTTAGTCTTAGGGAGAAGTTTTTAAAAAACCAAACAAAGCTCCTTTCTTTCGCTTTCATCATTTTCTCTTTATACCACTCACAAATCCATCCATCTACCCCATATATTTTTTTAATCACTAAACTTACCTCGTACTCCCTCTAGTGGTCATTTAGTAAATCTTTAATAATTACTAACTTCTTTAATGACATGCCTTTAGTCATCTTTTTTCTAATGTACTAATATTATTTTATCTGATAAAATTATCATAACCAATGGTTAAAAATTCAATACACATATAAAGTTAAAATCAAGGATAGTATATTGTTTAGGAGTACATGTATGTGGAATAAAGCAAGAGTAATAAAATTTCTTCAGTTTGGTGGGTGATAGTGGAGGTACACATAGGTAGATGCAGTAGGAAGACAAAAGAGTGAAGAACTTCATGTATCCATCACTAGTTATTTTCTCACTATTGTGTCCACCCCCAACAATTTTAAAGCAATTCTCAGACATGCCATTTCTTATATTAATATTTATATATCTCTAAGAAGGACATTTTTATTTTTACTTATGTACCATGCTATTACCACACCCAACATAATAATAATAATTGGTCTATATTCACATTTTCTTGAGAGTCTCAAAAATTCCTTTGTTTGTGTGCTTTGTTTTGTTTTTTGAGAAAAGGTTGTACTATGCAGTTCAGGTAGGCCTTGAACTCACTTGCAGCCCAGGTGGCCTTCAACTCACGTGAAATCCTCCTGCCTCAGCCTCTTGAGTGCTTGGATTACAGACATGCGCTACCACACCTGGCAAAAATGTCTTTTTAAGACGTGTCTTTTTTTTTGGTACAAACTCGGGACCTTGCCAGGTGGCGGAACCACTGAGCTAAATCCCTGGGCCCAAAACATTTGTCTTTAAAACATCCTAATTAGAATCTAAATAAGATTCCTTCATTGTATTTTGGATTGTATTTTTTGCCTCTTTTATTTTATAAAAGTCCTTTCTCTTTTTTAGGCCTATTGATTTATTGGATTAAACTGGATTAGAATAACTTCTATCTAGTATTATTTAACTTGTTTTTGTATTACCCTTATTTCCTATAAATGGTAGTTACAAATCTTTTCTTTTTATTAGTACATGTGTTTGGTACATAATGTTTACATTCCTTGTGTGTAGTTGGTGCAAAACACATCTTAATGTCATTTTTTCATCCCTTTCCCTTCCCTCCTCCTCCTCCCCCATCCCTTGATCCCCTTCCTTTTTCTTTTTCTTTTGGTTTATGTTTAGAGTACAAAATGTTTACATTCCTGGTATTCCTGGTAGTTATAGATCTAAAGGCTTGATGAGCATTAGATTCTGTGGAGTTTAATGAGAATTAGATTCTTTGAAGTTTTAGTTTATTTTGCAAAAGTACTTCATGGATGATGCCGTACTTTCTCTTATATCCTAAAGCACATGATGTGTGGTTTTCTCACTTTTAATGAAGCTAAAATTAATCAGTGGATTTAGTTAACAGGTGTTTCTTGTTAACATTAATTTTTCTTAATTTTCATAGGGAGGTACCTTTTTAAGAAAATGACAGATTTTTTTTTTTTGGTATCAAGGATCGAACTCCGGACCTTGCGATTTTGAAGCAAGGGGAGGAACCACTGAGCTTAATCCCCAGCAGAAAATGGCAGATTTTTAAAATTTGTGAAACAGTAAGGAAGGAGAGGAAGTATAGAAAATGTGATTCAACTTCTGTTTCCTTACCTGTAGGGTATATTAATTATATTAGATTGAATCCCAGTGTCTGTTATAAACCAGTGAAACAGATCTTACTGTGTCAGGGTAAGTATCGCCTTCTTTTCCTCAATAATAGCTGCTTCAAGTGTTCAGCTTTTTTTTTTTTAATACTACTTCTGCTTTTTTTTTTTTTTTAAACCATGCTCCTTGGTTGCAGTGTAGTAAAGTTAACTACTTTATAAGTGATGTATAACATGAATTGAGAAATACATTAAAGAACTCAAACCCAGCCTACCTGAATTTCTATGATAAATTTCAAGTAATGGTAATTAACTTTGTAAACAGGGTTCAACTACACCAGTAACTGTTTTCAAAGGTTCAAAGAAGCCTTACTTAAAAGAGTGCATTTTGATTATTAACCATGATACTGGAGAATGTCGACTAGAAAAACTAAGCAGCAACATCACTGTAAAAAAAACAAGGTAGGTGGTTCAGTGAGATAAATTATTTTATCAGCATATAAATTTATAAGGAAATGTCAGGAAAGAAGTTATCAGATTAAAGTCTGGTTGTTATGTAAGGTTATTTCTGTGTGTTAAAAAAATCTTTTAATCTTTCATTTTAAATTTGTTGAAGATCCTTAGCCAGATTTTACCACATTGCTGTGTGATATATGAAAGCTTGTTTTGTTTTTGAATGTATATGTATATCTTTTATTCTGTTGTAGATCCTTTCACAGAATTGGATTGAAAGGAGCCATTTATATGCTCCAAAATAATTTCATCTTTGCTAGTAAAAATGTATTTTGCTCCTAGATTATGTAAGGCACTGTAAAAATGAGTTTGTTATATAAATGGTAAACTCAAGACTTCTACATTTTAATCATATTAACAGACCAATGAGCAAGAGAGTAGAACCATCTCACATCCTTTTTGGAAGTAGGTGATGAATTATTTATTGTGCAGTGTAAGGGCACTTGCTGTAAAAGCTGTATAAATAGTATAAAAAATTGCTCTAGGAGTTAAGAGAAGGGCGAGGTCATGATTGATTAGGATATTCAGGAAACCTGAGTGATGTTGTATCTTGAGAGGGTGTTAATTAGGATCATAAAAATTACTTTGCTTATTAAAAATAAGAATTTCCAAGTACAACCTGAGTTCACAGAAGGAGCCTAGAAAGATATTTGTTAATATCCCTTCATCTCCCCCTCTCCCAGCTTCCTTGATTTTTACTATTAAAGTTTGGCCCCAGTATGGTGGCACACACTTGTAAGCCCAGCACTCTGGAAAGCTGAGGCAGAAGGATCACATGTTCATGCCCATCAGGGTCAACTTAGGATTCAATGAGACCGTATCTCAAAATAAAATATAAAAAAGGCTGAGGATGTAGCTCAGTATGAAGTCCTGGGTTCAATCTCCAACTACCAACACACAAAAAAATTAAAATCAGTGGGAAAGGATATAAGGTTAAAGGATATAAGGAAGGTTTGAATGCAAGAATATATCCAACTTTTTCAAGGCCAATGAATACTAGCTCTTTGAACAGAGCAGAGATTTTCTCTTTACTTGAGTACAAGTATTGGAAAGTGGAGGGTAATGTTAATAGGGGGTTGGAGGTAAGGTTGTAAAAGTAGGTTGATTCAGTATTAACTCAGAAAGTAGGACATTGTCTTGCAGGCAGTGGTTACATATTAAAATCTTTTTAACCAGGTATTGGCATGTTTACAGTTCTGTTTTGAAACACTGATCCAACAGAGCTAAGTGAAACAGTGTGGAAAACAGGAAAATGTGTAAACCAGGATTTTTGAGAGTGAACATTAAAAGTGAGACATTAAATGCTTTGTGAAGAAGAGTTGACAGTATTTGGTAACTGGAAATGGTAGAGGCAGAGGTCAAGCATAATTTTGTTATATACTCTTATATTGAAGATGTAGAAATAAAAGTATTTGAATCTTATTTATTAATATGTCTGTCTTAAAATTATGAATTCAATTTGAATTAAAGTCATGAATGTGGAAGTGATTTACTTTTAACAAAAATGATAAATTTAGAACTTAGAGAAAACATTTTATCTATTATACACCTATTACACTTTTCCTATTTAGTCATTGGTGAATGTGCTATCTGCTCAATTTGAGCAATGGTTGTTTTCATTCACATTTGTATCCATCACCTAATCTGTATGCATGCCATATTTGTTTTCTCTCTAGTACCTGATATATATATCAGGTACTAGAGAGAAAACAAAGCAACATGAGAACTTGTTAAATGAAGTAGCATTTTAATTCTTTTTTTTGGTACTGGTGGGGATCAAACTTGGGTCCTTGTGCTTGTGAGGCAGGCAGCAGAACCACTGAGCTAAATCCCAGGTCCAGCATTTTAATTCTTGAATATCATTTTAACAATTGTTAAGGGAACAGTAAATGGTCAAATTTAGTAAGTTTGTAAGTTGAAATTGTTACATTGCTATCATACTTGTATTGATTTTTGAGATTCTTAATTCCAGAGTTGAAAGAAGCAGTAAAATTCACCATCATGTAGAACAGCAGCAACAAATACAAAATTCAACTAGGATTCCCAGTCTTATAAAGCATTCTCCATCTGAAGACAAGATAGCCCCAACATCGCTAATGGATGACATTGAAAGAGGTAAAATCTAAATGTATATAGCATCTTCTTTATAATTGATAAGAATTATTAAGTAAAATTCTTCATTTTGATTAATAGTGAGATTAACTATAAAGCCTTTAATTAAAGCATAAATTTCTGTAATTATGCATTTTTCTTTGACAAGGATATAGCTTGTGATTTAAAGTAGCGTGTAATTAAGGTTGTATCTATGTAAAAGAATTTTTTTTTTTATTATTCTTGGAAAAATGTGACTGTAGTTGTGTGTAACTGGAATTTTCTACTTTTTGGCAGCTGTGATTATTTATAATTCAGTTTTCCACAGCTTCTTCCCATCAAAACTTTATGTATAGTCAGACTGTAGATGTTTAAGACACCACCAACAAAACAGGGAAAATGAGATGTAGTAAGCAGAAGCTGCAGGCACGTTTTCTGAATTGCTGCATACTTCTCAGCAAGAAGGCATTTCTAGCGATATACAATCTTCATGAAAGTAAGAAAATTTAAATCTCCATTTTTATTAGCTAAAGTTAAGATGTTAATATTATAGTAATTGTGGCAACATGAGACCCCAGTCATCAAAATATATTTGCCACTATATTTTGCCTTCATAATTAGCATGTAGCTGTCCAATTCCCCTTCTAGTACTAGTACAGTATTCATTCTCTTATGGATTAGTAGTCCCTATACAAACAGTAAAGAATTCATAAGTCTAGAATCCTTGTTGTTAAAAGAGATCTTAAATTTTCTTTTTACATTATGACTGCTTTCAAAATAGTTTTGAATCATGATGTTGATAGAGGGGAAATAGATGCAACTCCCAAACCTGCTAGATATCCAAAACGCAAGTTCATGTTCTCTAAAATCAAAGAATAAATTCTAGGAACAGGTTAAAGGTAGGAAAAATTTATTGAGAAAAGGATAGCTTCTGTCTAAGAGAGACAGAAGGAGGATTGGAAAATGGGTTGCCTGCCCACCTTGCTTTTCAAAGTGTTTTATATGGCAAGGCCATGAGGTGAGGTGGGTACAAAGTGGGACAAACTATAAGACCCAATGGAAAATTACACGGTGGGCATGAAGTGGGACAAAACCATGATCAACCAATAAGATTACAAGTACAGCTGCCCAGGTAATATTGATTAAATGGGGATCAAACGGGAAAACAAGTCACCTATAAAGGATTTCCAAAAAGGGAATGGGCTGGAGAGATTGATGTCTATTTAGAATATCAATAGTTGCTATTCATCTCTAGAGTAGTACCTCTATTCTTTTTATAATGCTAGCCAGTGAATGTGCCTCATTTTTTTTTTATGCTGAGGGCCCAGCTTTGTCTAACTGCCTTGTAATAATTTCTAACGTAGCTATCTGCAATAATGTCATTCTATACATATATAGGATGAAATACTGGAATAGGGAATCAAGAGATTGAAGAGGAAGCTGATGCAAATTTGCTTATTAAAATTAGCTGTGAGCTTTCTGGCCATCAAGACAATAATGAAGACACAAATAGCATTTTATATTATCTAAGACAGGTTTCAAAAAATCAGAATCTTCCTTCCTAAAAGGAATTCATCATGTGGAACCTGTTCTAGAAAGCATGAAACTATGTAGTATTCTAAACAATAATTTTATAGTGCAAGTAGAAGTTACCTCATGGCAGTTTTGTCACATAAACCTTAATTAAAGCATTGTATTAAAGCAATGGAAAACAGAGTTGCAGAGGATGTTAACATAATCTAATCATAAAGTTTTCTTGTTCTAACTTTGTATGAAAATGGAACATCATTTACTTTGATGTGTTTATACAACATATTCCTTAGAATATAATCTACAAAATTTTTTTTTCAACCTTACTGTGCCACTAATCATTGCTAAGATGGTTGAATCATCTTTTCAAATTTATATTAGCAGTTGTACTAGTATTTTTATAACTTAATTTTTACATCATATCTTTAAGCTACCTGGAATTTAAAGTTAAGGAATAAGATAGAGTCTTAGGAGAGTAGGGCTGAAAGAGGCCTTAAAGAAGTAATGCTTGAAAACAGTTGATGAATTACTTAAACCCATAGATTCAAGAAGGTGAACAAATCCTAACTAGGATAAGCCCAAAGAAATTCATACCAAGAGGCTTCATAATTAAATTTTGAAAACTGAAAGCAAAGGTAAAATATGGAAGCAAGAGAGAAATGGCACATCAGATTTCTCAGCTGAAACCCAGGAGATGAGAAGAAAGCAGCATAAAATATAGACTTATCAGCAAAAACATTACTACAGATAGGTGCATTAATAATAATTAAATGATTTATCTATCTTGACAAATATGTTTACCTCTAACAACAGAACTGGAGAATTCAAGAATCAAAAACTGACACAACTAAAAGGAGGCATACAAAAGTTCACAATTAGGCTTGAATTATTCCTCTCTCTACTCTCAGCAACTATTAATACTAATAGACAAAAAAATCAACAAGGATATAGAAAGTCTGAGGAACACAGTGAATCAACAGTACATAAGTGACACTATGTGGAGCAGAATACACTTTTTTTCAAGTGCTCATTGCGTATTCACCGAGATAGATCATATTCTGGGTCAAAACAGAAACTGCAACATATTTATAAAAACCAAAATCATACAGGCTGTGGTCTCTCATCAAAATGGAATCAAACTAAAAATTATTAATAGACAATAGGAAAAATGTCTAAGCTTTTGGTAATTAACATGCATCTAAATTATCCATGGGTTAAAGAAGAATCAAAGGAAATTAGAAATGAATGTTACTAAATGTATAAAATAAATATAGCATACAAAAAAATGAGATGCAGCTAAAGTACTGCTGAAGGGAAGGGAGTATATTTTTGGTACTAAATGTTCATATTAGAAAAGAAAATTCTCACCTCAGGAAACTAGAAAAAGGAAAGCATATTAAACCCAAAAGAGAAGCAAGTAATAAAAATAAAAAGTAAACAGAGTGAAATTGAAAAACAGTAGAGAGAATCAATGATGCAAAAAGGCAGGTCATCAAAAATTTTATACTGTTGATCAACCTTTAGAAAGAAAAGAAAAGAAAACAATACAAACCATTACTATCAGGAATGTAATTATACTTCTATAACCAGGAGAGTAATGAGTTCACTACAGATTCAGAAGCCATCTTAAAAATTATAATGGAGTGTTACAACTTTATCCTCATTAATTTGATTTTTTTTTTTGTTACCGGGGATTGAACTCGGGTCCTTGTGCTTGCGCTGCAGGTGGTGAAACCACTGAGCTAAATCCCTGGCCCATCCTCATTAATTTCATAATTTAAAGGGACCAGTTTCTCAAAAGCTAAAAACTGCCAAAACTTAATCAAAATGAATTAGACAATCTGAATATATCTATTAATATTACAGAAGTTGAATTAATAATTGGATGAAAAAATACCCAGGACCAGATGGTTTCACTGGTGAAGTCTGCTGAACATTTAAAGAGAATTAACACCAACTTCCAAAAAGTAGAAAAGAAGGTGCTATGGTTGGGCTAAGTATCCTCCAAAGGCCCATATGTTAAAGACTTGATTGCCTGTGCCTGCCTCGCAAGCACAAACAAGGTCCTGAATTTGATCCCTGGTACCTGTTGAGAGGTGATGGGAACTTTGGGGGAAAGGTTAGTAGGAGGTTTTCGGTCATTGGTAGCATGCACCTAAAGAGAATATTGGGACACTAGCCCCTCCCTCTTCCTCTCATTTCCCAATTATGAGGTGAAGATTTTGATCTGTGTGTTCCCTGTTTTTTCCTCCCAAAAGAGGCCTAAAAGCAATGAGCTACCTGATCTTGGACTAAAATCTCTAAAAGCATGAGCCAAAATAGTTGTTTTCATTTTATAAGCTCAGATATGTGTTACAATAATGGAAAGATAACATAGGAAAGAACATTAATAAGCTCATTGTATGAGCTCATTGTAGTACCCTGATGTTAAAACCAAATAAACATAATACAAGAAAAAGATAACAGTGGTCTAATATCTCTTAACTTTAAAAACTTCTTGCCTGTAATTATCTTACTCTGGAGGCTGAAGCAAGAAAATCATAAGTTTGAGCTCTGTTTGTATAACTTAGTGACTTAGAGAGACCTGTCTCAAAATTAACAACAACAAAAAAAATTGTTAAGGGCTGGGACTGTAGCCCAGTGTGAAGGCCCTGAGTTTAATCTTCCATATCACAAAAAATCCTGAAGGAAATATGACAAATCTAATATTATATAAAAAGAATTATAAATTAATTAAAGAATTATATATTAATTATTTACAATGTAATTTTAAGAGCTGGGGATTTAGTTCAGTGGTGCCACCACCTGCCTCACAAGGCCCTGAGTTCGATCCACAGAACCAAAAAAAAAAAGAATTATGCAACATGACCAAGATAACATTCATCTTTTCACATTGCTTATATTTGAGTATGTGAATGAGAATGGGGGAAGACAAGTGATAAACAAGTAAGTATGTATCTAAGTGAATTTCAGAAATGTGTCTTGAAGAAAATAAAACAGATAGTGGAGTTTGAAGGAAAAAATAATTCTTTGAGAAGGATAAATTTTAATCTGAGAAGGAGCTAGGCTTTCAGAGATCTAGAATCTTATCAGAGACACTGTTAATATAATAAGAAAGTTAACTACAAACTAGGAGGAACTTGGAGAAAAAATTCACAGTTCTGACAAAGGTCTCACAACAAGAAGAACTTACTATAAAGAATGCTTATAAATCAAGAGAAAAATAACTAAATATGAAAATGAACAAAAGACACAAATGAGTATTTCACAAAAGATAACCAAGTAGCCAAAGAGCACATGACAAATTGCTTCATACTATGACTTATCAGAGAAATGAAAACTAAAACTATAATGAGGCACCATTGTAACTCAAATGACTTTCTGTATTAAGTATGTATGTACAAAGATGGGGAAAGATAAATATCTGTAATTCTTATACATTATTACTAGGAATGTAAAACCACTTTGAAAACTGGCAGTTTTTAATGAAATAA